CTTACCTCTGCCCTTAAGAAAAAGTCTCCCTTTTCAGCAGGAAGTAGCTAAGAGAATACGCCATCCCCTTTTCCTTATGACTCAGGGTGAAGTCTCTCTCAGGGAGGAGTGATAGGGAATGGCAAAGGACACACTGACAAAGAAGATTAATCAGAACTGGCTTTGACAAGCACTGTGGAATTTGGACAACAAACTGGGAGGAGGGTAGAGAGAATATGTTTATGAAAATTAATAAAATATAGAAAAAAAAATGAACTAGAAAAAAAAAAGAAAAAGTCTGAGACAGCATGGCAGCAATGCAGACTATAGTATCAGATGGTGGGAGAGCGCAGCCAACTTGTGGACATGGCCATAAAGGAGGGCTTCTAGATCTAGGAAGTTTTCAGTATAGGAACTCTGAGTCTAATAGGATGGCAAAATAGATCAGTCCCCTCAGTAAGCCACGGTTCCCTGTTGTTAGGTGTTGTCAAGTTGAGTGTGACTCATAATGACCTTTGAACAATAGATATAAATCCAGTCCTATCATGTGCCATCCTCATAATCTCTGACACATTCAATGCCATTGCTGCAGTCACTGTGCTGAGGGTCTTCCTCTCTTTCACCAACTCTCCTCCTTCCCAAGCATAATGTCCTTTTCCAATAAATAGCCTCTCCTAGCAACATGCCCAATGTATATGAGATGAAGTTTGATCATCTTTGCATTCACGGAGCACTCTGGGGTCACTATGAGTTGTGCTTGACTCAGTGGCATTTAGTAACAACAACGAATAGTTTTATAAATTCCTCTACGACACTGTTAATGTTTTCTTAGTGCTAAGTTGCATATATGAAACTTTATTGGTGGACATTTTTCTAAGATGCTCCCTTTTGTTTTTGGCCTCCCATTCAGGTTTTGAAGACTTCAGATAGTTTTATTTTCCTTCATCACTGACTCATGTTTAAGAGTGGGGAACTAGAAAAGCTACTGGAAACTGAGAAGGTGGTTGTCCTTCCTGACTGTCACCTTCCTTTAATGTCACCTACCACTTCATTTAGTGGGAAGCTCATGGTGTCTGTCTTGCATAAATTCTTCTCAAGTAAACTGACTTGGTCTGCTCTTGGAGTGGATTACTTGTTAGGGGTAAAGGACTGAAATTTTTCTTAGTGTTCACTATCCAGAAGTTGTTGGCTTTTTGAAACAGTGTTTTCAAGTCTGGCTTTGCTCCTGTAGTGTAGAGACATATATTTTATATTTTCAGTGATTTACTCATTGCAAATACCTTTTTCTAAAAGAAACAAATGGCAGCTTTACATATGAATCTTATCAGATGGGCTGGATAGGAATCACATAGATTACATATGTGGAAAGAATCACTGGAGAATATCAATATTGGCAGTCAAAATTAGGCCTGAATGGATGGTCAGACCATTAATTACTCATGTGCAAGCTCAGATTGAAGCCAAAGGAAATGGAAATTAAGTCTACAAGAACTAAAATAAGATTTTGAATCTATGCTATCTAAATTTCAAGATCATCTTAAGAATAGGTTTGAAGCTTTGGACACCATTGATCAAAGACCAGATGAGTTGTATGATGATAGCAAGGATATCATCCATGAAGAAAGCAAAAGGTCATTACAAAGAAGCGAAAGGGAAAAATAAAAGGGAAATGAATGTCAGAAGAGACTCTAAAATTGCACTAGACCATTGAGAAGCCAAAACAAAGGGTGGGGGGAAATACCAAAATATAAGAGCTGAACAAAAGATTTCAAATGGTAGCCTTGAGAAGACAAAGCAAAATATTATAATGACATGTGCAGAGAGCTGGAATTGGATAATAAAAAGAGAAGAAGGGAAGAACTCACTTTGTATTTCACAAGTTGAGATAATTAGAAAACAAATTTAAACCTTGAGCTGAAATATTGAAAGATGCTATGGGCAATATATTCAAAGACCTAGAAAGCATCAAAAGATGGAGGGAATACAGAGAATCACTGTACTAAAAGAACCAACTGACACTGAACAATTTCAGGAATATCGTATGAGCAGGAGCCAATGGTGATAAAGGAGTACGTGGAAGCTTCATTGAGGCATTGGCAAAAAATAAGTCCCCAGGAATTGATGGGATACCAGTTGACTTGTTTCAGTTAATAGATGCAGCTCTGGATGTGCTCAGCAGTCTGTGGCAGGAAATTTGTAGGAGAACTGTCTGGCCATTGTATTGGAAGAAGTCCGTATTTTCGCTCATTATCGAGAAAGGTGATCCAGCAGAATGTGGAAACTGTCGAAGAATATCATTAATATCACAAGCAAACAAAAATACTGTTGAAGATAATTATAAAATGGCTAGAACAGTACATAGATAGGGAATTGCCAGATGTTCAAGCAGGAATGAGAAGGGACACCAGGAATATCATTGCTGATATCAGATGTATCCTGGCTGAGAGAGTAAAAAATACCTGAAGAATGCCTATTTATGCTTTATTGACTATGCAAAGGCATTTAATGTGTGAATCTTAACACATTATGACCAACATTGCGAAGAATGGGAGTCCCAGAGCTCAATCCCAGATCTTAATTGTGCTCATGCAAAACCTAGACCAGGATGCTTTTGTGTGAACACAGCAAGGGAACATTGCATGGTATAAAATTAAGAAGGATTGTATTCTCTCCCCACACTTATTCAATCTGTATGCTGAGCAAATTATTTGAGAAGCTGGGCTCTATGAAGAGGAATGTCACATCAAGATCAGAGAAAGACTCATCAATAACTCACATAATGCAGATGACATAACCTTACTTGCTGAAAGTAAGATGGACTTGAAGCACTTTTGCAGAAAATAAAAGAATACAGCCTTCATTATGAATTGCATCTCAATGTCAAGAAAACAAAGATTCATACCACTGGACCTATAGGCAACATCATAATAGATGGAGAGATCTCTAACTACAGACATTTCCAGTGCAATACGTCTCCTGATTTCCTGACTGCTGGTACCACTGTTAATTGTGGATCCAAGTAAGATGAAGTTGTTGACAGTTTCACACTATCTGTCGTATTGCCAAACTGTTTCCTCTCCATCTGCAGTATCATTTGCAAGATTTATGTATTTATATTATCAGTTTATAGGAGTTTATGTTTCATGTCTATGCCAATGTTAGGCACAGATATATTTAGATTTTTATTTTACTGCTTCTTGTTGTGTGCTGTCAATTTGGAACCGACCCTTAGCTGCCCCTCTAGTGGGTTTTCAAAGACAGTTAAACATACAGGAGACAATTGCACATCCTTCTCCCACGGAGCAGCTGCTGGATTTGAACCACCTTTAGAGTTGCAACCCAGCATGTTTAGACCACCACAGCTCCTTTATATTTTGCCAGTAGAATAGAAAAACTAATTTTTTTTCTTTGATTTGCTTATAAATATTTGATTATTAAGATTGAAATCTGAACTTCAGTTAATTGCTATGCACAGTGATCCTCCATTTTGGGATGTTGCTGTTGTTATTAGATACCATTGAGTGGATTATAACTCTGTAACAACCCTATGTGCAGCAGACCAAAACCTTGTTCAATCCTGGCCATCCTCAAAATACCCATTGTTGTGGTCACTGTGCCATTCCATCTCGTTGAGGGTCTTTTTCTCCGTCTTTGACCCTCTATCTTTCCATGCATGATGGCCTTTTCCAGTGACTATCCACTTCTGACAGCATGCCCAAATATGTGAGACAAAGACTTACCATCCTTGTATCTAAGGAACGCCCTGCTGTACTTCCTCCAAGATTGATTTGTTTGTTCTTTTGGCCATTCATGCTATATTCAGCACTCTTTGCCAGTACCACAAGTTACCATTCTTACTCTGCTTTCATTTTGTTGTCCAACTTTCATAAGCAAATGAAGCAATTGAAAATACTGTGGCTTAGATTAGGTACACCTTAGTCTTTAAACTAATAGCCTTGCTCTTTAGCACTTTTAAGAAGTCCTTGACAACAGGTTTGCCTAACACAGTATGTCTTTTGATTTCTCGATGGTTGCTTCCATGGGTGTTGATTGTAGATCCAAGTAAAATGAAGTCATTGACACTTTTTATCTTTTCTCCATTTATCATGATGTTGCCTTTTGGTCCAGTTGTGAGGATTTTTAATTTTCTTGATGTTGAGGTGTAATCCATACACAAGGCTATAGTCTTTGATCTTCATATGTAACTGTTTCAAGTCTGCCTTGGTTTCAGCAAGGAAGGTTGTGTTGTCTGCCTAAAATAGATTGTTGATGAGTCTTCCTCCAATCCTGGTGTCGCATTTTTCTTTATATAGTCTAACTTCTTAAATTATTTGCTTAACATTTGTATTTAATTCCTTTGTGATACTCTATAAGTAGTATAAAGTAATAAAATATGGATGAAAATTATGTTTATAGGTTCTTATCAAAGTTTTAAAATTCGGAATGATTTTTGTACAGTTATAAAAAGTGTTAATTTACCTTTCAGTGTTAACATTTATGTAGGAAAGACCATATTTTAATTTTATGTCTGTTTAACTATTAATACTATTAATTATCCATTTAACTATTAATGGACAGTGGTTAACTGTAGTTAATCCATTTAACTATTGGATAATTATCCATTTAGCTAATGGATAGTTATCCATCTATCTATTAAAGGCTAGTTAATAGTTAACTATTAATATTCATTTGCATAACACTTTATATGTGGCAGGATGTTTTCATACATGTACTCTCTCGGTAGCTCTGTGAGGTAACTTGTATTTTGAAAGTGAGGGAATTGAGATTCTAAGTGGTTAAGATACTTGACCAGATGTGTAGTACGCTTTTCTGATGATACGGTGGGACTGGAATCTAAGGACCAAGTTCTGACCCTTCATCCATTTCATTGAATCAGTTCTATGTCCATGTCACTAGTTGCAAAATGAAGAGGATTTATCTTTTTCAGCATTAGCAGATAATCTCTAAAAGCGAATTATACTCCTAGATAAGCACAATAGTATTATTAATTTTTGTCGTAGAGATGAACACAGAAGCAGAACAGCAACTTCTGCATCATGCCAGAAATGGCAACATTGAAGAAGTAAGACAGGTTCTGGAAACTATGGAGAAAGGTGATGAGATTGCTGACATAAATTGCAAAGGTAAGCATTTTCCCCAGTGAATTTTTCACCTTTCTTTTACTACTATTTCATCCCAATTTTTCATTTAAAGCTACGTTTTCTGATGTTGTTGACAAAGAATGACTTTTAGGAAAAACCTCCCCAAGAGTTGATGTCTTTGCCCCTTTAAAGTCAGAGAACTTGAGATCCATTGCTAAAATTGCAATGGATTCAGAATTTTACAATGTGCAAAGGTTATCCTGAACCCCAAGTGCTTGCTATGACATTGGTGTTTTTCTCATCGAAAGCATTGTAGGTTTAAATATTTGCTATAAACCAGCCCTCATATAAGACCTGGCGAGTGATGGTAATAATGCAGAAACATAAGATCCTTGCCTTCACTTAAATGAATCTATCATCTGCATTAGAAAATATGTAAAAGATACAGAGGGGTGTGTGTGTGTGTATTGTGAGGCCACATAATAAAGGAATTCAGCTGGAATTTGAAGGGTTAGAATGAGTGTGTAGAAAATTATTCTAAGATGATATATAAAGGGGAGGTAGGAGTTGGCCACGTGAGGATAGAGAAGAAAAGGGCTCAAGGCAGAAGAAACACTTAGGATCAAGGCCATGGGATGAGCCACAGCAGAAAATAAGTGCCTGAGGCAGGAGTGAAAAGAGAGCAATGAGGGGTGAGGAGAGGCGCGTATGGAACAGCCCAGTCGTCTAGTGCTTTTATCACCTGGTTGCAAATATACCACATTCATATATGCAGAGTAATGTAATTGTACTCTGAAATGGCTCTGTTATTTTAACAAGAAATTTCCAATTTTGTGAGTTTGTGGGACTCAACATTGTTCTCTAGGTACGTCAGGTTCTATAATAAATGCACACTCCCACAGAGCCTCATCCTTCCCTCCTGTCCTCTCTAAGATGACATTAAAAGGTAAAGGTGAGCGTTGCTTTGTGTTTGCACTCCAATATCTAAGGAGCCTTTGTAACTGAGGTAAAACTTGGAGTCAAGTGTCTCCGTTTGTCATATAATACAGGCAGTGTGCTCCTTGTCCTTCACTCGAGACTCATTCTGGCTCTTGCTGGCTCCGTGTCACCCTGCATTTCTGTTACACTCCTCCCTGGAACCTTGTCTAGGGTACTGCTTCAACTCCGCTCTGTTCCTTGTCTTCTCTTTTAAGGGTGGTGTGCTGGAACTTAGTGACATGTGAGAGCTAAGAGCAAAACCCAACAGCGTTTGCCTTTTTTCTGCGCACATCATTTGGCGTGTCTGCTGGGAGATCCTTCCTTAGTTTCCTAGAGGTGACTTGCCTGTTCATTGTCTCTCACTTTCTGGCTCAAGTTATAGAACCACATGTCTGTCTCATCTTCTCTCATTTCCTGTGCCCCAAAATATCTTCTCCAGAAGTTTCCTATTTCAGAATATTTCAGATATTTTATTTCCATGTCATATTTTCTTCCTACCATAGAGTAGCACTCTTATAGCTGAGCCTTTTCTGGAGAAAGAGTTTTGTGTTTTTTTGTTCTGTTTTTCATTTTGGGGGTTTTATTTTGGAAAGAGAAGTCTTATCTCTTTGTACAAGAAAGGAATTATGATCTGAGTTGTTTATGAAGTATAATCTAGATTGATTCTTAGTATGTGAAAGGAATCTCAAATCCTTTCTGCATTTGGACAAAAGCCAGCTCTTAATTCCTACTCCAGGATTCCATTTCAGAGCCAATGTCCTTATAATCCTCAGTAATCCTTTTCTGTCCATTCCACATTCATGGATATCTCAGACTAATAAGTGTAAAGTGGTCTACTCTTTGCCTTAAATAGCAAGGCTTGTGTGTAGGAATGCTATAATCATTCCTTGTGCTGCTCTGTCTAGAAGTGAAAGCAAGAGGTTGGCAAGATCAAATGTGAGCGGTGTTTTTACATGGAGATTCCTTTTTAGCATTCCTTCATAAACGTAGTTTCCCTAAATTCTGAGCAATCCTGAAAATGGTAAAAAATGTTATAATCCTCCCATAAGTATCAATGCTTAGTAATTAACAAGTCTGGTGTCATGAGTTTATTGTCTAAAATGGCTTTCCTTTGGCTTTGCCATTGGCTTTGACTTTCATCACATGATTGGGTGGAAACATGAAATAATGTGTGTTTAAATGACATGATAGATTGGTCAGTTCTACTTTCCTACCACATTTAAGTTGAGTAGGCTTAAATAGTTGTTGTTATGCGCTGTCCAGTCTCCTGTGATTCCCCTATTACTCTAGTCATTGAATTAATCTATCTTATCAAGGGTCTTCCTCTTTTGTGCTATTCTTCCACCCTCCCAAGCATGACTTCCCTCTCTAAGGACTAGTCCCTTCTTGCAACATAGCCAAAATATGTTAGGCAAAGCTTCAGAATCCTTGCTTCCAAGGAGCAGCCTGGTCTTATCCTCTACAGGACGAACCTGTTCATTCTCTTAGCAGTACACAGTGCATTCAGTACTCTTCTCCAGCATCACAGCTCAAAGACATCACTTCTATCATCCCTAGTCATTGTCCGGCTCTCTGATGCATAGCAAGTGATTGCAAAGACCATGGCCTTTATCAGGCACACCTTAGACTTCTAGTAGTAGAGGAGGAAAAATCTCACTACCTGCAAGGAGGAAGATACAGAGATTCCTGTGCTTGTTGGATGGAGACCTACTCAGTAGCACGAGCAATTACAGCAAAGAACCCGAAACGAAATTGAGACGGAACTAATTTGGGACTGCTGCCTGATGAGACTAGGATCAGCGGCCTTTGCCCAGGCTTGTTGGAGGACTTGAGGAGAGATGCCATAATCAGGAGAACTAAGAAAGCTTTGTAAAACTGGCCTGAAACCAAAGGGCTGAGGCCTGAAGGGCCTATGAGCACACTGAAGAAACTGCCGTGACTGAGGAATTGTCTCCTGTTACCAACCTCAATTGTAAACTGTTAATTTCCCTAATAAACCCCAGAACTGTGAGTATGGCTCTGTACGACCTATGTGGCCATTGCAGCCATCTTCGGGCCATTAATGGAGCGATATTATTGGTGTTGGAATTAGTAGAAGTAGATGTTGGAGCATCGTTACAATGCCTGCCTTTATAGGAATTGGTTTTATGTTGTTCATGTGACTGATGGGGACTGTTCTCCTTTGTGAATTTAATAGAGCTCGGACTCAGCTGCATCCATGCCACTGGCAAATCAAAAGCAAGCACGGGAAATGCTAACGTTTAGGATTGGAGATTGTTTTTGTTGTTGTGTACCATCAAGTCAGAATCAGTGCATAGCTGACCCTCTGGCAGGCTTTCAGAGGCAGTTAATCATACAGAAGGAGATGCCTACCTTTCTCCTGTGGAGTAACTGGTGGACTTGAACCATGTGACTTTAGGATTGCAGCACAGTTTCTCGCCACTAGGCCACTAGAGCTCCCTGGATTGGAGATTAAGGTCACAATTTCCAGGTCGGATCCTTCTTTAGGATTAAGTCAGTTTAGATTAGTCAGTTTTGCTTGAAGCTGTTGCCATGTTGTTAATTGTGTGCTCATGGTCTTGTCTGCTGCTAATGGAAAGTCATTCTTGCCAATAAAGGCTTTTGACACTCTATCTCACATGAATTTGGGCACGTGGCCAGGAGGGACCAGTCCGTGGAGAGGGACATTGTGCTTGGAAGGGTCAAGGGACAGCGCAGAAGAAGAGGACCCAGGAGGAGATGGATTGACTCAGTGACTGGAGAAATGGGATTAGGTCTGTCGGAGATGATGAGATTGTGCTTAGGATAGTGCAGGGTTCAGAGCTATTCTACACAGACTTGCTATGAGTTGTAGGTGACTCAGTGGCACATAACAACAATAACAATATGTTTATGAAGCTCTAGAGGTGCAAAATGAGCAATCTTCTCTCATGCAATTTACAGCCTCTGAAAACCCACTGGAGGGTCAGCTATGAGTTGATGCTCACTTGACAGCATACACAATGTTTATATTTATAACGTACTTTCTGTGAATCCTAGAAATTACAGTTCAAAAAATAAAAAATTTTAGAAGCAAAATTAGTTTTCTCCTCCCCTTTTTTCTGTTTTACTTAAATTTATTATTAATTTCAGTAAAAATTTACAGAGACTTTGGATTTCCATTCATTCATTGTTGCACTTTTCTCCCCTCCCTACCCCTCCACCCCCAGTACACTACCCTCTTGGAAAAGTAAAAGAAAAATTCTTTCATTGTTTTACAAACCCTCCCCCCAGGTCCATTCCACCATGCAGCCTTCTCTCTAGACTCCTGTCATGACAAAAAACCCTGATCACATATCCCTTTTAAACAGTTTTCTCCCTTATCTGTTTCAATGCAGTATACATTATTGAACCCATCTTTCTCAGTCTCTCCCCAACCCCAAGGTCAGTGCTGTTTTACAACAGTGGCACCATGCAGTATTTGTCCTTTTGTGACTGAGATACTTCATTCAGCATAATGTCCTCTAGAGTCACCCATTTTGAATAATATTGCATGAGTTCCTTGTTTTTCAATGCAGCATAGTATTCCATTGTGTGAGTATACCAGAGTTTCTCTATCCATTCGTTTGTTGATGGGCACTTAGGTTGTTTCCAAGTCCTTGCTATTGTGAACAAAGCTGCAGTAAACATGGGTGTGCATGCAAAATTAGTTTTCATGTTAACAATATCAGCATGTGATTCATATGGTACTGCCACTTTGATAGGAGGTGTGTCTTAATTACCTAGGACTATTGTAACAAAGATTCCACAGTGAGTGACTTTAAAGGATAGAAACGTAGCATCTCACAGTGTTGGGGACCAGAAGTCCACAGTAAAGCATTGCCTCTAGGGGACTCCAAGATAGCACAGGACATTCCTTGGAATTCCTGGGCTTATAGAGGTTCCTCATCCATTCCCTTCCACATTATATGTGTCTTCTGTTTCTCTTTCCATAAGACTCTTTGTCTCAGGCATATTGGACATGTTATGCTGTCAGGAGGAGCCAGCCAATGGAGAAAGACATCAGGTTTGATCAGTTAGTGATG